ATTGAGATCATTGCACCATAGCTAGTAGCCTTTCACCCAATGTGCATAACCCATATATATGCATTTTTTCGCCCTCGGCTCAAGCTTACCATCACTTGTATAACTTAAGCAGGACATTCGAATACTTGTAATCCGGAGTAATCAATAGGTTTCCCCAACCATTAGGGTCGATTGGGTCTCCACTCAATAGCAGATGATGGAGATTGATTAACCAGGTAACATGTCATATTCACTGCTTTGACCTAATATTCCTTGCCTAGTCCTGCATGCGAAAGCATTCTCCAAGCTCGCTCAAGTAAAGTTCTCTTCTTCCATTTTGCTACGCTATTCTGCTGTGATATCCCGGATACTGTGCGGTGTTTCACAATCCCTTCTTTCTCGTATGATTTGGAAAAATATTTACCATAGAATTATATGCCATTATTGATTCTCAAGCACTTGATTTTTTTATCTGACTACTTCTCAATCAATACCTTAAATTTCTTGAACCGATTTAACACATTAGAATTATGCTTCAAAAAGTATATCCATACCTTACTCGAATAGTTGTAGATAAATGTCAGCATATATCGGGTAACTCCTATAGAAGGAATAGGAGACGGACGCCAGATGTCTGAATGAATGTATTTAATTGGTCGCTTGGTCAAATTAATAGCTGTATTAATCTTAATCTAGATCTGCTTCCCAAAGATGTAATGCTTACATAGGCTTCCTTGTCTTTTGACCCTTCAACAACCTCCTCACTCAGCATCGTAATACATGCCTCACTCATGTGCCCTAAGAAGAGTTTACTAGAAAGCACTAGTAGGGAATTGCTATCATATCTCTAAAAGGAAGGTCTTGCAGAGCACTCGTTTGCAAATAATAGAATGGCATTCATGAGTTGAATCAAATTAGCAAGGGAACTAGTTGCAAGAGATCTGTCTCCTGTCATGGCATGGAAATAGTAAATGTCGCAGATTATCTGCCTTCAGACGAGCACCTTCTATCTCTCGAAGACTATACGAAGTGTATTCGTCCGCTGCCATATTGTTGGGTAGGGTGTCTCTCATCCGTTTTGGGAGGGAACTGATTCCTCTATCTTCTAGGGTTAATGGGCAAGTCAGGGGAGGCTTAATCCGCTTTTAGCCTTCATGGCTTTTGATCGTGTGCGCTTCCATAGATCTAATTAGAGGAAATAACCAAAGGAAAAGGCTATATTGCTAATCGTGATTCTTTCTCCAAGTTATACAATTTCTTGAAGGGTGGTATTGAATCGAGGCAGGAAACGAGGGAAGGACAAAAGTATACGAAACGAGAAGTGAAGGCGGTACAACCACTCTATTGTTTGTTTCGGAGCCATTTTGGTGGGGATTCATATCTTCTATTTATTTACCAAACCAATTCTATAGGGTTGAATAAAAATTGGATTGATGTTTTCATTAAGTCAAAGTTTGACTCATCCTAATGAAAATGTAGCAGCTCCTATCATAGTCTCTCACAGTAAATCATAGAGAATATTCACTTTCTTCCTTTTCATCATTGTCGTTGCACCTCGAGAGATCTTTAGTGCTCCACCTTCAGCGGGGTACTTACACTCGATGTCATCGAGTGTCCGCGAAGAAATAAAATTCTTCTTGAGATCCAGTATATGCGTCACGTCTGTTAGTGTGCGTACCACCCCATCATACATCGAATCTAAACTATCCCTATCCCCACAACCTTGCAGGTTACAATATTTCCCATCATAATTCTACCACCATCTACAGTTTGGTAAGTAGTAAATCGGTTCCTATGAGGCGTCATATAATAAGAATGCCCTGAATCTAGCACCTATTCATCTCTTGACGAATCGCACACAAAATTGCCTCTGCATCACTAGTGCTCTCCTCCGCCACATTTGCCACACTACTTGTGGCATTCTGTTTGTCACCTTGGTTTCCGCTTTGAGCAATCTCGCCCCTCCTTGTGATACTCAAAGCATTTCACGCGTCCCTTGCACTTTTTATGGCATGACTTCAACCTACTTTTACTTCTGCTAATATTGGACCCTCAATGTTAATCTCTATCTTGAATCACTAGTCCCCGTGCTACATCCTACGCTAGATTGTCATCTCGCAACTTTCTCTACCACTCAGTAGAGAACAAGACAGACTTTATTGCTTCCGAGGTAATCATAATGCACCCCTGTAGCGGTGAATCAGTAAAGTGCTCCCATGACTCTAGTAAAGAAGCTAACAACGTCATGCTCTATTCTTCATCATCTAGAATCTAACTAACGTTCTTTATATCCATCATGAATTTGTTAAACTCATCGAGGTGGGATTGATAGACGTCCATTAGTATATCTAAATTTAAAAATTTTCTTCAACATGTACAAACGATTATTTAAACCCTTCGTTTCGAGTGCCTAAAGTTTGACCACATTGCTGCGGCATCCTTCTCCTCGGCCAACTCTATTAACACCTCATCCGATATATTCAACAGGATTATATTTCTTGTCTTCCTCATTAGCACGTCATTTTCAACATCTTTCATTGTTTCGGACAACTTATATTTGCCCTTCAATGCTTTGGCCAAACCTTGGATTGTTAATAATGTCTTTATCTTAACGCTTCATAACTCAAAGTTGTTCCTCCCGTTAAACTTCTCAATTTCCACTTTTGCTTTAGACATAATTGCAACAATAAAATTTCCATATAACAATCAGCCAGCAAAAGCCCCAAATCACAATCCAGAAAAAAACATATCCTTAAGCTTTGATACCAATTTTTATAATATAAAACGAAGGACCAAATCTTGCAATTTAAGTCAATGCGAAAACACCGAAAAAATAAACGAGGAACAATAAAAGGACATCTAAGATTTAAGTGGTTTGGTTCGATGCATCGATGCATCGATGCATACATCTATGAGGAGAGCCAATACCAAAAATCTACTATAATCAGATAACCGGAGCTGCAATCGCTTTACATGCTCAAGTGTTCCCCACATCTAAATTATATCAAAACTTAAAGCATTTATAAATAAAATTACTTTACTTGGATATAAAAACTCACAACACGAAACTACCGGGTGTTCAAGCTCTACCAACGACCAGGCAAAAGAAACTCAACTCACGGTTTTGAGGAGTTTACACACTCAAGTGTTTTCCATACCTAAATTACACCCAAACCTAATGTGTTTATAAATAAAATTACTTCACTTGTATATAAAGACTCACAACACAAAATTACCGGATGTTCAAGCTCTCCCAACGACCAAACAAACGAAACTCAACTGAAGGTTTCGAGGAGTTCACTATGCGGCATCCTCGAAACCCTTACTTGCCCTGCGGCTACACCTCTCGCTGAAGGAGCCCACTCATTCTCACTGTGCAACTACTGTGCTCTTCAAGAAGAGCTACTGTTTGGCCACTTCAAAAGGAGAGAGAGAAACCCACACCTTTCTACTGTGCGGAACAAGTTCTTATGTGGCTCCTCCAGGCTAGGCTAGGAAACACAGACAAAAGAAAAACCCTAGCCATTTGTTTCTTTCTCTACTTCACCTTTTTTCGCCCCACAATAAAAGAAAAAGATATTATACAAAAAGAGTAAGCCCCTATTTTGTCTTTTAGTGCTATGCCCTTTTGTTTTCTTCTCTTTCCCGGCCACAATTTACTTCAAATTGCACATTGTACATGTATCCAAACTCTAGATATAATTTAACATTATATATAAAATATTACGGGATGCACATGAATTACAATATGTAGCACCAATAGTTAATTACACGATTGTACGGTAGTCTCTTCCTTTTACCTCCTTTGTTACATGGGAACAGTTTAGATAGATTTTGTTGCATCTATGTTAGTTCTCTCCAAACAAGTCACGCATCATCTACATCTAGCCTGAGAAAAAAATTAATAACACACATTGTCGACGAAGTAAATCTTGGTGAGTCTATATAATGTATTTCTATGCTAAGTTCATACAACATTTCTCAGTACTTTCTTTATTTTTTCCTTCTCTAAGGCTTCTTCATATGGTTATGTGCCATTGGGTTTGACCCCAAATAATACTAGCATAGTGGTTCCAACTCTCATTGAAGACGTAAACTCTTATCGCTTAACCAGTTTCTTGGGTCTCTTTAGTTACAACATCTGTATCTTTTCAAAGTGTTCAGATTTCTAATTTTTCCCCCACAAGTATTAGCCTTCAAGTTCGACTCCAAGGCGAAAGCATCAGACGAAAACAAGATTGTGCGTAGGAGTAGTTTAGGAATGACTAGTGAAATTAGCGTTGAAGATCCTCACTTCCCCGTGCAGGCAATATAGAACAAGTAAATGAGTAAAGGAAGGAAAGTGCCCACTTAGCAACTGAAGATACAACCTTATTTTCCGCTAATTCCAGATGTAGACTGATGTACTAAGTTATCATGATTCATTTTGTTTTCTTACTTAAGTTTTTCTTCTTCTTTTTTTCGCCATTTCCTTTGTGTCGGTGATTTTGTTCGTGGCCTTCTTTTGGACGCGTTACGTCTTCTTCAGGGTGGGACCATCTCCGGGGGTTCAAGTTTTGATTGAAATATGAGAAAAATCATCACTAGACAGGCTTCGCTGTACGTCCTTTATCATTGAATCTCGTGTCTGAAACCAGCTATATACAGAGTATAGTTCGGGTACGTACGATCTTGATCATTCAAGACAGACAGAGACCCCCAACGGGGCTTTCCGACATAGGACCACATGGTCATGATTTCACATTGTCGTTGACATGGGAGCTCCCGCTCGTGACTTCTCACCGGCCGACGAAAACTTTTATTTCCCACACATCGTTGAGCCTAGAACGGTTCTTATCAATATGAAATGCCGCATGGTTAGCATCGTTAAATAGCATGAACAAGCAGTTCTTCCAATTCAAGATTCAAGTCATGCCGTCACCCAAATAGCTCTGATGAGAGAAATCACGGGACGCAACACGCGCGGCTCGTGGTATCAAGAAATTTCAAGCAGACATGCTTAATGCAAAGGGAGGAGAGAGTATTATAATGACGAGGTTCTTCTTATTCATAAGGTGGAGAAGAAATGGTTGCTCATGTCATGTGGTGCTAGAGCACAACCAAGAAGCAACATACATTTTCCCCCACACATCAAAGCAGAAAGGACTAGACCACGGACTGACTCGGAAATTCGAAACACACCAGAAAGCAGAGCTTCCTAGGACACACGGAAATTATTCAGTACTCCTCAGGGCATTCATCTCCCATGCTATGTGAACTCCATCTATGGGGCTCATCTGCACACGGGAGGTGTAATTCCTCGGAAGTATGTAGCGAGCAACTGACAAAGCAAACGACACAACCTGAAAACAACAAGACCGCGAAACTTGGAATAGAGTCTAACTTCCCCACCACTGATGAACAAACACACCAGTGCTTCTCAGGCCTTTGAACAGATCCATACATCCCCCTTTCATTTGTCCAATGCCTTGCAAAGGGTCCGAGCAATGGAGGAAGAGCTCGTTAACCGAGCAGATGGCTCCGCTCTCGAATAACTCCACCAGGAATTTCAGTTCTAGCTCCCCGGTATTCATCTTCATAACCACGAAGTCAGCATGCTTCACTGTTTCCTTGAACCAAGCAAGAACGTCAAAACCTTCACTTCCCAGATAAGGATCAAACTCAGGATCATCTCCAAGATTATTTGTGCCCTTGTTTCCCACCAGCCCTGGGTGATAAACAAAGTTAATACCAGGCTTCTTGACATAAGATGAAAGCACTGAAGTGTTGTGGTCGACGAAATAAATGTTAAATGCTCGGATGTCCACTGGATAAGATGGCAGGAACCAATTCACATGGACAGAATTCAGGTGCTCCCCTGCTCCAATAACTATATAGGTCATTTGCTTCGCCAACGAAACATCTACGAATTTCGGTAAATAGGAATCTTTTGGCTTTGATTCCATTGGCTTTTCCTCTACAAGAGGCTCCATGAGATCGATAAAGGCTTTACTCTTAATAATTGATGGGCAGTTGTCCGGAAGTCTATATTGCCCAAAAAAACCCACATTTTCAACCCTCTTCTTGAAAACCACCAGAGTGAAGTCATTCATCACACCAAGACTGAAATCATTCATGAAACCCACGTGAATGACGCTGGAAGCTTTCAGCAGCGAAGAAACTGGCGTTGCCGACCTAATGAGGCTGTTCGGGTTGGAACCGCTAACACTGACAAGCATAGCCCCAATTCCGCCGGGCTTAAGCATGCGCTCAATCTCGAGCACGAGCAATGCAGGGACCGACACCTTATCAAGGTCCCTGGAGAATACGAAATCGAAGGAATTATCCTCGTAGCTCAGGTCGTAAACCAAATGCTTTTGTTTCAGGGAGAAAAAAGGGTGTCCGTACACCCCGCAAGCATTGGAGAACCCCAACTCGTGCAATGCATAAACGCAGGCAGACGAGCCTTCTCCGGCACAGAGAGCATTCGCGCTATAATCCAACAAGTGCTTGCTCATTAGCTCTCCAACCACATTTAGAGTCAAATTCACATCCTCTTTGCACTCGACGGATTCGAACGAACCCCGTATCGGTTCCAACATCCAATTGGGAATCAAATAAGCGCCGGAAAACATAAATTGGCCAAAGTTACCCGGGTCGGCGGCGCAATTATCGGAATTCGCCGGAGCGAAAAATGCCGGATTCCCACCGGACAGCACATGCAGCAAAGGGAACAGAGAAATAGCAGAGGCTATCATAAGCGTGCGGAGAAGCACGCGCCTCGCGATATACCCATGAAGAATCTGGTATCTCAATGCCTTGTAATCCATCCCTTACGGTGGGGGATTCGATCAGTTCAAGCCCAGAGCAATTCGTGCAAAGTTCAGATCTTTCCGATCAAGTTCAGATCTTTTCGATCAATTCGTGAAACTTTCAACAGAGAGAGAGAGAGAGAGAGAGACAGAGAGAGATTGAAGCCGGCAGAGCAGTTGGGAGAGCGAGATTTAGCGGGTGCAAAACCTGGAGGAGGTGTGATTCCCACCCACGAGGAGACCCATCGAAGTTTGGGAGCCCAGCCAGACCCTCCTCGGAACCCTCCTCGCCATGGCCACGCACCAGGTCCAATCCATGCCCGGTGGGGGGATCAAACAGTCATCGATGTGGAGCTTGAAGAGACCTACATCCTACACCAAATCAGGGGTCCAATCAAGCAAGAGGTTGAACCCGGAAAGGGAAGCACTTCGAGCGGTGCAAGATGGGAAACGCTTTTCTGGGTTAGCGGGTCCCGTGGATGGAGATGGAGTGAGTGAGGGAGTGACGAAGTAGATCTGGTTGCGGGAGTGAGCTTTCGATGTTATTCAGGAAAACAGAGGAAGAAAATTTAAAAATACTTTGGAGAAAGGGAAGAATAGAAATAATTGAGAGTGACAGCTGTGTATGTCGTTATTCTCCATACGCGGCAGAAGCAGGGAAGTTCTCAACGTTAAAATTTAGTAATAAATGCACTAGAAGTCCCGAGAATTATTACGGAAGTGTAATTGAGTCCCATGACTTTTAAAAGGTGCAATCGAATCCTTAAATTTGTCATGAAAATACAATAAAGTCCTAAAACTTTTTGAAATGTGTAATCAAGTGCTGAAATTTTCAAAAAGTGCAATCAACGAAAAGACTTGATTTCACCAATTTTGACAAGTTTCAGGACTTGATTGCACTTTTTGAAAAGTTTTAGGACTCGATTGCACTTTCTGACAAGTTTTAGGACTTAACTGCATTTTTTGAAAGTTTTAGAACTCAATTGTACATTCGTGACAAGTTTTAGGACTTTTATTGTATTTATCCCTAAATTTTATTTTTTGGGGAGTTAATACCATGAAAAATCCCAAATTGGTACACATGCGACGAATTTACTCCAAACTAATTTTTTGACCATATAAAACTACAAACTGGTATAACTATGACAAATTTATTCCAAACTAATTTTTTGACAACCAAAAGCTCATAACTGATATATTTGTTACAAATGTACCTTTTGTTAGTTTCCATTAAATTAGATTAATATCATGAAAAATTACAAACTTCATCAAACTCAGTAATTTGACTGTAAAATTAAATGAAAAGTAATGGAAGGTAAATTTATCATATATATATATATATATATATATATCAATTTGAAATTTTTCGTGATATTATTTTTTATTGAAAATGTTAATATTTATTTACGTTGTCCAACCATCAAACCATATCTCTTTTATCGAGAAAAGCGTGTGGGATTTGCTTCTTGCTCCAATCTGATCATAATGGAGCGTACGAACTACGAGTAAGCGGTTTCAGGTTCTTTACAAGTTTCACTTGGAACCTGGAGCCTACCCTCGGGTACGGTTTCTCATTTTTTGGAGAATGAAATCTACTCGTCGGAACCTAGAATCTAGAACTAACCTTGTCACAGGTTTCATGGCAGGTTCCAAGGTCTAACATGTTTTTTTTTAATTTCATTTTTAGTCAAACAAAAAGAAAATGAACGCAACAATACTGAACAAGCTTGTTATTCACCAAAGAGAATACAAAAGACTAGTTTTCCTAGCATTACAGTTCAAATAAATACAATTAAAATGAAAAGTCATCACGTGAATCAATATTAGGGGTGAGCGATTACATGTTATGTACAGGTTCCACCTAGAACCTGCCCATAAGTATTGGTCCCTCATTTTTTGAAACCTAGAACCTACTCTATCAAGTTCCAAGTCGATTATAGGGTTTACCCAAGTTCCACATGTATTATTAATTGAACAATTACAGTGAATCATTACATTTAATGATCACCACTTGCTACTATGATCTACTGACCATAACTTATATTTAGATACACAAAAAATATGAAATATTAACGAGTCATAAAATGAAAGCTCGGACTAGTGATTTTAGATTATATACTCATCATCTAACGCCATGAAACACTGCAGGATCACGCGATGACATAAACCAAGAAAAAACACAAAAAACTTGTTTAGGTTTCAGGTTCCAAGTTCCAGTAACCTGAACCTATCCGTCGAAACATGTTCTTCAATTTTTGGAATCTGAAACCTACCCTGCATACCTTGGAACCTGGAACGTACAGGTTTCCACCGGTCAGGTTCTCAAGTTCCAGGTTCTACCCCGGAACCATGCTCACCCCTAGTGCGAACACACATTGGGATCCACAACTTCAAGTTGATAGCTCCGATTTTAAAGGGTTAGTATCAAAAAATAATCACAAGCTTGTACTCTTATGTTACCTTTATCCCTAATAATTTTTATGTGACAAAAATAAAAATCATAGATGTGTCAATAATAATTCTCAACTGATCAACTCATATCACATTTATTTCAAATTAATTTTCGAGTCAAAAAAATGATTTTAGCGGATTTTCCAAACTTGAGGGAGCTCTTAAGGCAAAATTATCCCAATCTTTTGGGTAAGTTGGGATTTTTTGTAGTACGAAAATTAATTTGGGATGAATGTGACTAAGATGTATTAGTTTGGAATTTTTTGTGATAAAGTAACTGTAACATAAGCGTACAAGCTTGAGATTTTTTTTTTTGTAGTATTAGCCCAATTTTAAATCCATATGCCCATATTATTGGTTGTCAAAGTTAACATTAGCAAAGATGAAAGTTCAAGGGAACCTGTTTTGGACTTTTAGCATTTACAAAAAGCAACTTTAATAGTTAATGAACTTTTTTTATTCCTCACTAACATTTTTGAATTCCTATTTTGCCCTACGAAGTCTCTCTCGACACCCGGTAGCTCCAAATTCCCATCGTGCAAGCCCAAACACTACAAAAAAACAAGGGATTAGCGACGAATTTTGCGACGAAAAATTTGGCAAAATCCGTCGCTAATCGAATTTGCGACGAAATTAGCGATGGAAAAAATTCCGTCGCTACTAGGGCGTCGCAAAATTTTGCGACGGAAAATTTCAATTTCCGTCGCAAAATTGCGATGGAAAAAAATTCGTTGCAAATAATTTGTCGCAAAATTCGTCGCAAATAATTCGTCGCAAATTAGCTACGAACTTTATTCGTCACAAAATTCGTCGCAAATTAGTCACGAACTTTATCCGTCGCAAAATTCATCGCAAAAATTTTCCGTCACAAAAATTGCGACGGATTTTGCGATGGATTCCAAAAATAAAGGGCATTTTCAATCCGTCGCAAATTTGCGACGGATTCCAAAAATAAAGAGCATTTTCCAATCCGTCACAAATTTGCGACGGATTGGAAAATGCCCTTTATTTTTGGAATCCGTTGCAAAATTCGTCGCTAATTTGCCACGAACTGTATTCGTGGCAAAATTCGTCGCTAATTTGGCACGAATTTTTTTTTGTTTGTAATTTGCGACGAACTTATTCGTGGCAAAATTCGTAGCAAATTTGTCACGAAAAATTTTGACTTTTGCCACAAACATTATTCATGAACAAATTTAGCAACGATTTTTTATTAATTCTTTAGCGACGAACTCTGCGACGAATATCGTTTAGCGACGAAATTAGCGACGAAATTTTATTTTTGTAACGAACTTTTATAATTTGTGATCGTACGATAAAATCGTTTATTTTATTTTTCGATTTTAAACTTAATTAAAAGCAAAATTAATTTCTGAAATTTATATTTAACATTGATTAAGCACTTAATAACATCAAAATATTATAATAATATGAAAATGAAATACATTCATCTACATTTTCCACAAGAATGACATAAATATTTTTGTTTATAGTACACATAATGAGAGAATAAATAATCTTGCATAATAACTAATCTTGCACAATAAACAATGACGACAGAAATGAATCAAAAAAGAATATCCAGCTTTTAGCGACAATCTCCATCATATAAATATTGAACAAAACTAAAGACACGGTCCATGTGAGATGCTCACTTCCTTTGCTCTGTGAAGTTCACGTACTGATCAAGTGCTTTCTCGTTTACATGACTAAACTGTCGGAGCTGCTCGTTGCATCTGTGAAGCATCTTCTGCAACTCTTTGATGCTCCTCCGTCTATACCTATAATCTCAAACATATAAAATGAGGTATGATGAGCTTCAATAGTGGAAATCAAATTAAAATTCAGTAGCAAAGGGAACATACACCTCAAAAGCATTTTCAAAGTCAAAACATTTTCACAGTTAGACAAGGGAACATACATCTCAAAAGCATCAGAAAATAACGGGCCCAAGTTCCTTATCTTTTTTGAGTACTCATCTTTTTAGCTTTAAGAGTATTCCTCCGGCTAAAGAGTTGTTCAAGTTCTTTAGTTTCATCCTGAAGTGTTTTCTCATAGGTGTCCTCCAAAGCCTGCATTCGAGCAATCATTTGAGAAGAAACCAAAGAGTTGAATACCAACATTTAGTCCACACTGAAAAAATTAAATAGTACCTTCAACTTTGCCATCTCATCTTTGATCTTTTTGATTTGCTTATTTGTTTCCTCTGTACTTCTATTAATTCCTGATAATTTTTGTTTCAATCAAAAGCGCGAACAAAATCTAAAGCTTCAAGACAACAATATTCCGATCAATCCAAAATTTCCACCTTCTAATCGCTGGGTTGCATCAATGACCAATGATTTAGTATCTTTTAGCTCCTGCCACTTTGATTCCGCTTCATTTTCATGCAAATCAGTCTCTGATGAGGATATAATAGCCTCATACTCTTGCTTCTGCCTCTTGAGATTAGTTGCAAGGTTAGTCTCAAGCTCTGCTTTTCTTGTTTCCATCTGCAAACAAACAAAAGTGATGACCAATATGCACAAAAACAGCACAACTGTACTCTGGCAAGGTTCTCATTGCCAACCTCAATGCGAATATCAACAATACATAGAACTATATCCTACCTTTTCAGCAGTTACAGGCTTTGTCAACTGGCGATTGCGTTCTTGTTCTGAAGTGACAAGCAAGAGAATGAGCATCTATCCAAAGAAAGCTTCAAAAAAATTAACACATGAAGCACTACCTTCTGCAAGTGAAGTCTGAGTGTTCTTGAGCATCTATCCAACGATAGCTTTGTCCTCTCCATTTTCTTCCTTTCCCCCAGAAAAAAAAAAGGAAGAACACCCAAGAAAGAACTCACGTCGATTCGAGCCTCGCCCCGCTATTCGCAACAGCATAAAAAAAGTCCAAAATTACACGTCTATTCACAAATTGGAGAACTGAGTCATTCATCAAACACTTGCAAAGCACCATATCCCGACCCATTTACCCTATAAACTCACAAACATCATCTCCATTTCTCGATGAAGACTACCCAATTCTAACGAAACAATAGCAACGACAACCATTACAATAATCCGACGATGTATCTATCAGTTAACACACAAACATACTCGAGAACTTCAATAAAAAGGTCACAAAATCAGAGTAAACGGAACGTACAAATCTCGGAATGGGACTGACGGAAAGAAATCTCGGAATGGGACCGACGGAACGTACAAATCTCGGAATGGCTGGAAACTATTGGGGCCCTCCTCCCACAGGTAGCCGTCCCTCTCGACGGTGGTGATGTTGCCGTCGACGCGGTCCCTGGCCTCGGTGACGACCACGTCGGGGGCCCTGTCACGGTGCTTCGTGGCGAGCGCCTGGGCGATGCAGAGCCCGCTGATCCTGCCCCCGACCACCACGCAATCAACCAGTCCCCCGCCGGCTGCCCTCGGCTGGGAGATCGCGGGGCCCTCGGTGACGGAGCACCGGATCCCAGCGGGGCACGCGGAGGGGCTTGTGGGCGTGGAACGGGTGGATGGCGACGGAGGAGGAGGCAACGGCGGCGGCGGCGGCGGCGGTGAGGGTGGCCATCATGGCTGGCGGAGGGGAGGAGGGAGCGACGGAGAAGTGTTTGGCGGAGGGGGGGTTTCTGAGGAATGGTAGAGAGAGAGAGAGAGAGAAAAACTGGGGTGAGGGCGGGCAGATTTGAGAGACTGGCGGGGGACTAAATTCAGAGTTCGTCGCATTTTTCCGTCCCAAATTTGCGACGGATTTTTTTTTCCGTCGCAAATTTGCGACGGATTTTTTTTTCAGTCGCAAATTTGCGACGGATTTTTTTTTCCGTCGCAAATTTGCGATGGATTTTTTTTTCAGTCGCAAATTTATGATGGATTTATTTTCCGTTGCAAATTTGCGACAGACTTATTTTTCCGTCGCAAATTTGCGACGGACTTATTTTTCCGTCACAAATTTGCGACGGATTCCAAAAATAAATCGCAGTTTCCAAATCCGTCGCAAATTTGCGACGGATTTATTTTTCCGTCGCTAATTTGCGACGGAAGTGATCTTTGTGGCACATGGCGCCCATTTTGTCAAATCCATCGCTAATTTGTAACGGAATTAGCGACGGAAATGTTTATACCGACCAATTTTTCGAATCCGTCGCTAATTTCGTCGGAATCTTGAGTAGATATGCTTCTACACTTTTACATACAATGACACATTACTCATATTTGACAAATTAGTAAATGTCATGATCTACGTCTAAGGGCAGCAAATCTGGTGATGTTTTTTCTTTTTTCATTAGAGCAGCGGAGGAATGTCCAACAACTACGGGAGGTTATTGCGAAATGGGCCGATGTGACTAGCATTACGAACACTGTGGAGAAACATGACTGATGTGGATGTCATTGTTACAAACAGACTCGATTGACGCTTTCTCAAATAACAATAGGGCTCTGATACCAAGTCAAGAATGTGATAAAAAAATTAATAGCAATATATATATATCATTGTCAAATGAAGAGTACACGAACCTATTTATCGGTTTTATAGGATGACTATCTAAAAGGGAAAATATCAATTACAATCAATTAAAGGAAATATAGGGAATCTTCTAAATATTTCTCTAATAGAATGTATGCCCTCTATTCACTCATCATTCGGATGTAGCCCTTTAGGAGTAAATCATCTAATTGGCTAGATCAAATTTGTTAGGTCTACATAAGAATATCTCTTTTATATGATGTCCTATAGATATCCCCATATAGATACATTGACTTTACATTTCATATATCCACCCGATTCCGATCTATTTGAAAATTGCTATAATTTATTTACCCATATATTTACGCATACATAAGAGCTACGTGCGGAGGAAACCGCCATATTCAACTAAATAGATATCTGTGTTATCTATATCTAAGTCTTGAAAACAAAGAAGATAAGATTTGCACCTATCGAATCTAAAAAAGCTTATTTGGGATGAGAACATTTTAAGAGATTATCTAATATCTTGAGTTTATAATAGATCTTCTTATCTAATTTGAATTTGTAATATCTAATCTCTCTTAGAATTGGACGTGTAGCAAATCGTCCAATCTCTTTTGAATTTGAACTTGTGACAATCATCCAATTTAGTTTGAATTTCAATTAATAATTGTTAGTTTGCATTAGATTGATTTCATTAGGCAATATTTAGTTTGTCTTGTGATGGAGTATATTCCTTATGTAGTCCTCGTCGAGAGATTGAGACATGGTAATCATCGTGATTAGATTTAGAAGAACTTAGGTTTAGTTTTAGAACACTACAAAAAAACAAGGTTTTAGCGACGAATTTTACAACGAAAAATTTGGCAAAATTCGTCGCTAAACGAATTTGCGACGGAAAATATATCCGTCGTAAATTTGCGACGGATTGGAAAATGCAATACAATTTTTGGAATCCGTCGCAAAATCCGTCGCAAATTTGTGACGGAAAATCAATTCGTCGCAAATTTGCGACGGAAAATAAATCCATCACAAATTTGCGACGGATTGGAAAATGCAATACAATTTTTGGAATCCATCGCAAAATCCGTCGCAATTGCGACGGAAAATAAATCCGTCGCAAATTTGCGACGAATTTTTATTTCGTGGCAAATTCCGTCGCAAATTAGCGACGAAAAATTCCCCGTCGCAAATTTCTGTGGCAAAATCCATGTTTTTTTGTGGTGAAAGTCGACAATCGCCACGGGACGATTGTCAAGAGTTGTGCGTCGCCAAGGGTCAATGATTGCCGAGGTTTGGATTTTCCAGATCTAGGTTTATTTTTCTCCCTCGCTAAGTTCTAGATACAAAACTGATTATCGATCTGACGCCCCGCCAACGGTCGAGCTAAGCTCGTCGACGGTCACTAACGTTTGTCAAGAGTTGCCAAGGTTCGCTAAGGGTTTAGGTCGTCAATGGGGGGTGTTGGTCGCCAAGGGTCTAGGGCCACGGGAGTGGGAAGAGGAAGCTGCTTTGGGGGCGTTGAGCGGAGGCATCATTGCGTCGGAGCCAGCGGGCGAATGGAGCTGCGGATGAGAGGAAATGAAGAGGAAGAAGATGGGGACAACTTGGACGATCGATTTGCTTCCACAAAATGGCAAATTGAAGAATCCAGTCCATTCTGTCTCAAAATTAGCACAAGTTCACTAGAATCAGACCCAAAAAAAAAAAAAAAAAACAGAATCCATAAGTGATAAACCGACACAAAACAACAAATTAAGGATGAAGATTATCACCGTAGTAGGTGTTGAGCTATCGGATGAAGCTGGAGATAGAACATTTTTATATAGTTCAGGGACTAAATTAAATATATACTAAAAGTCTCGGGACCACATTGAACATTAGGCTAAAGTTCATGGACTATTGTTGACACCTAAATTTTGGCACACCATTTAATGATTAATTGCATAGAAAATTAGGGATTAAATTTTAACCCCTAAACAAAAATATCAAAATCGCATAGCATATAGTTTAGGATCATATAGTTTAATTGCATTTCACATTGGACCGGCGGTGGTGAGTAAGCTGAAAATCCATCGCATAAATCGAGCTTGGACACCAAACGGAACTCGGCTCACCTAGGGGATAGGGGCCGAAGATCATGAGTCCAAAAGGCCTTGATTATCTTAATTTGAGCTTAAATCAGCCCATCAAGCTTAATTAGAGAAAAGCCCAAATTAATTCGGCCCATTTGAAATTAAATAAAAATTAAAGGATAAAAGCCTAAGCCCATTAGGACTAGGAAGCCCGACCAATTAACTTAGGGTTGCGATATAAATATGTGATTATATCCCTCAATCAAGGGGGGAGCTCTTGTAATTTTCAAAATCAGAGTTTTTAGAGAGAGCACGTGAGGGAGAGTGAGAGCAAGGAATGAGAGAACACTGCCCCGCCGTCACGCCGCCTCGTGTCTGCGCTGCCTCATCGTCGTGCCCTCACCGCCGTTGTCGCCACCTGGGCTCGTGCCGCCGTTCCCCGCCCCTGCCCCCGCTGCCGAGTCGAGCACAACCAGCGTCCACCACACTCCAGCCCCGACGTTGACGCGTTGCTGCCACCTGAGTCTGAACATGTGGACCGCCTGCTGCCGTCATTGCTACTGCCGCCCGTGTCGTGCTGCCGCCTATTGCTGCACCGCCCGACGATCAGCTGCTGTTCCTGAGTCGGTGCCGTGACGCCGCCATCCCGATCTTGCTGCTTCCTGACGCCCGTCGCTGCACTCTTTGCTGCCCTCTTGATGCGACGCTGAGCTGCCTTGACTCCTTCCTCGATTAAAATCTCACTGCGTTTGTCTTCAGGATCACGGTCAAAGGTCAAGAATTACAAGTCCACTCATGATTTTTAAAGAAAGAGGTCTGATCATGGGTGAGAGCATTGGTGACCAAAGAGAAACCTCCACATCTTGGAGGTGAACGTTCAGCAACTCCCGCCATTGCTTAGCATCATCACCACCGTGAAGCAGCCTGAGCTGCGAACACCACTATGACACCGTTGCCGGTCCATCCCACCGCTGCTCGTCCCGATCCGCAATCCCGATCCGCGAGTCTAAATTTGGAAATATCTCGAAATTAGGTAAGGATGTTATCCAATATTTTCAGAATATTTGGTTTCTTAATTTTTGGATGTTTGAATATTTTGTGAATATTGCGTGGGTAGCTAGATATCTTAGGATAGTGCGTGTTATATCCGCAATATTAAAAAATACCCAAAATTAGGAATTTTTCCTAATTTGGCAACGTATCTGGACGACTATCCGACCTTATCTATAAGGTACGATACGCGGCGATATGGAAAATCGTTATCTTATCCATAATCACTTGGATACGATAATAGATTTAATTCGCTTTCCAAATTCGAATAATCGGCTCTCCGTTGATAACTATAACCCTATAGATATGACCGTTAGCTCGATTCTCTTTCCTAATTCAAATTTGATAAGAAGAATCTTGCGGATTGCGTGGATTGTTTGAATGCGGTTGTTATCTTTGTTTGATTGCTTTTTTTTTAATAAAAAATCCAAAATATGTTAGTTAGGATTTAGATTAGGAGTTTTGCATGTTTAGGAAATCCTAAATGTATCTAGAAGATAGGATAATTATTTAATTTAAATCGGGACTTAAGATAATTTATTTCCTAGTTTAAATTAGGTGTTATTCTAATCTTAATAGATTGTTTAGGTTATTTTTAGATTCCGAATTTCATTGGAAACATACCAAAAATAAATCATTTGCCCGTCATTAGAAATAGGTCATATTGTCGCATGTCATATAGTTCGCATGCTAGGTCGCATTAATCGCATGTCATTTTTTGCACGTCATTACATATAGGTTAGTTTTCATTTTAATAAAGCGCAAACCCTAAAGAACACCTTGAGTGTCTTGCTTTGTTAATTAGAAATCATATTAGAATTGTCTGTGTGATTTTCTACTAACAATGCAGACGCTTGCGTTGCTTTAAGGTACGTCATTCT